GAGGTCCCTTCCAACCTTAAGCATGATATGAAGAATTCACAGCTTACCTTAAAGTATTTGCTGTTTAAATGGAAATCATGTTGATGATACTGCCTGAGATGGCCTGTAGACCTATGTGGTCTTTGAATTTGGGAGGTTGAGAGAGGCTGAACATAAATACTGCTTCTCTGCCTGTGTGACACCACATGCAGGTGGTGCCCTGCTTCCTGCCCTGTTCTTGGTGAGTTTCTGAGTCACTCCAGCCCTGCTTCTTCTTTTCTCCTTCCCCGTCAGAGCCCTTGTGGAGCCTGAAGAGCTGGAGAGGACAGTGCGGAGGTTTGGAGGCGCGCCGTGATGGTGGGAGCCAGTCCCTGGCAGCCACGCTGCTTTTGGGGGGGCGCCCGGCTCGCTGGTGTCTTCAGCTCGTTGTGCCAATGACTCTCCACTGAAGGATGGGGAGCCCAGTGTGGAGCAGAGGGGCGAGTGCAGAGCCAGGACAGGCCGCAGTGCAGCAGTTTGCACCTTTCATCACTACACCAAATCCTTGCTCAACTGCCTCGGCCTGTCACCCTCCCATCCCCATCACTGTGGGGGTAAAAGCAGCCTCAGTCCCCAGGTAGCCTTGACCCACTTAAGGATTGTTTTCCCTATCACATACCTGCCCCCAAGACTTTGCATGGGAGCCATACAGAGCTGTGGGGTCAGGCTGAAGTCAGAGCTGCCAAACCTAGGCTATTTCTCAGACTGCGGAGCTTCACAGCTTGGTGGTGATTTTTTGCAGAGTTCCCATCTTCTCAGGTCTTGTGACTGTTCCAGTATTTATCATGGCAGACAGTTGCTGGCAGGTGGCTCCAAAACCGGACTTAAAATCAAAATTGGGGCCCCATGTAGTGGAGAGTAGGCCAAGCTCTCAAGGTACATGGAGATGGGTAGTGTGGATGGGTAGTGCAGGGGTCTGTGGTCAGCTCTGCTTCAACAGCTTGCTGATCGCAGGTTAGGATAGGCTGGAGATGCCATTAACCTGCACACCTCGGTAGTTCAGATGTTTGAGGTCCCTGCTCCAGCCAGCTCAGAGCTAGCTGCAGTGTTAGATGAGGCTCCCTTGGGATGCACAGCCCCAGTGCTGGCCCCAAGGCAGGCTGGAAGCACGCAGAGCAGCCTGCCTAGTTCAGCGTATGCGCCTGGGGGAGGCTTCCTTGGCGAGTGCTTGGAGATCCCGTTGCTCTTGCCCAAAGGGGTGATTGATTACAGGCTTGAGCCCCTGGGACTGGTCTGACCTGCCCGGCTCCTGCGCTCCAGAGCAGCGCGAGCACATCGAGTCACTGGCAGTGGGCAGGCCCCCCTCCTCCCCACTCGCTCAGACTTGTCCTCAGTAGCCTCCATCCCAGCTGGAGACTCCTTGTTTTGCCCAGGCCAGGAAGGAAGAGCTGATCCTGCAGGTGGGTGATGCCACCAAGCTCCCCAGGGAGCCCCACTGAGCTGGTTCCCCTTCCCAGCCCCAGAGAGGCAGGTCTGAGCAGGGCTGTATGTGGAGCTGCCTGGATCCCAACATGTCCCCTGCTGCGCGAAGGCTGCCTGAGGACCGGTATCCTGGGCTCATCTCCTTCCTCTTGCTCTGTCCCCTCAGATGCTGTGCTGCAGTGCACCCCATAACAGCAGGCTCACCTGGACATCCTGAGCAAGGTGGGTGCAGCTCCCACCCGCTGCCTTCACACTGCGGCCCCGGGCACTTCACTGTCCCTCCCCTGCTGCCGCACAGGCTGTTTTGACTCCAGCTCCACTCAAGGTCCAGCCAAATAAGGCTCCATGCGGCACATCCATACAGAGACATCCCTGCCCCCAGAGAGCAGCATGGACTCTGGTCTGTCCTGGCCAGGGAGAGAGGCGGCCTTGGAGCCTTCCTCGCAACACTGCATTCGCCACAGCATCCTCATGGGCTACAATGAGACAGAGATCAAGCGCCAGAAGGTTTACCAGGTCTCCATCTTCTCCCACCTCTCCAGCTCCTCTGAGAGCACAGAGCAACGGACAGGCAGCCGGGCAGCTATTAAGCGGGGATACCCTGAGCAGCAAACTCTGGAAGGGATGCGGGATCCCAAACGAACTCACTGGGGTGGCGGGGGGGCGGAGGGCAAGTGGGATGGGGGTCCCGGGCCAGGTTTCTTGGATGATGATGCCGATGCCTTTGAGGATGGTGTGCTGGTGGAGGAGCTGTCCCTGTGTGGCTCTGCTCAGCACTTCTCTCACAGTGGGCTGCAGGTAGTGGAGCACCGATGCAAGGGCAGCCTGAGCCACAGTCCCAAGGCCAGCAGAGAGGATGGGTTGCAGGATGCCTCGTCCTCCTGGCCACAGCACATTGCTTGCAGTACTTTGCACACAAGAGACAGTTGTCCTGACCTGCCAGGGCATCAGCCCAGAGACTATGGGGAGAATGGGGAGCAGGCAAGTGGCCACAACCTACTTGAACTTGATTTGCACAACATTGCACAAACACCCCAGGCAGACTCTGGTGGGAAGAGAGGGAAGTTGGGGGACAGCCCTGCTTCCAGCAGCAGGACTGGCAGAGAAGGGGAATTGCCAGCAATGGCCAATGGGTGCAAGGAGCCGGCAGCTCCTCAGACAGCGCTCAGCCCTGAGCCGAGCAGCCTGAGCTCCTTGGAGAAGACGCCCTGCGGGAGCAGCCGGCTCAGCGGGAGCAGCTGCCTGGCCAAACGGAAGCTGCTGCCAGCCAGGGAGGTCACGGCTGACTCCTGCTCCATGGACGAGAGCCTGTCCCCACCGGCGAGGAAGAAGAGGGCCCTGTTGTGCCATTCCGTGCCTACAGCCTGCTGCAGCACTGATGCCAAGGGGGTCCCTTTCTGGAACCACCTGCTTCCATCGGCCAAGGTGAGCGTCACCCATGGAGGGTGGGGAGAGGCAGGGTGCAGCCTGGGGACACCCAGCGCTCAGGGTGGCCCAGGGGCCAGGCCTGTCCCAGTGCTATCGCCCTGGTGCAAGCCGGGCAGTGGCTGCCGGCCCGGCCTCGGGCAAGCGGCCCG